CGAACAAGATAAAGCAGGTCCCTGCTCTCATGAAGCATTCATTCTAGTGAAAGAAGCAAATAATGAATAAGTAAGTAAGTTCATTTCAAGGAGGGCTGAGCTAGGAAGAAAGTAAAACAGGGCCATGGGATACAGGGTGGCTGGCATAGCTGCGGGTGGAATGGAGGGGCATATTAGATGGGGTGGTTAGTAAAGATGACATTGGAGTCATAGAACACAGACAGACATGAGAGAGAAGTCGCCGCCCATGTGGAGGTCAGGAGTAATTGCACTCCAGGGGTGGAAACAACAAATATGACGGTGCTGGGGCACAGATGGACTTGGTGTATTGGGTTTGAGGAACAACAAGCAGGCCAGTGTGGGCTGATTCTTGTCAAGCAATGGGGATGCAGGCAGGAAAAGAAGCTGAGAAATGAGGCAGAGCCCAGAGGTTGTAGGGTACCGTGTCAGGGAATTGCTCCTGCTGTCACTGTTATGAAAATTTGGTCAACACAGACAAGGATACAGAAAAAAGTAAGTTACCCATAAGCTAGACAGAACCACTATTAACATTCTGGTATATTCCAGACCCTTTTAAATGTACATGTGTGCATGTACACACACACATACACATACTCACATAAGAATGGAGTGATGCTAGCTACCCCTTAGTAAGTGAACTTTGCCTCCCCAGTCACACTGTTAACCCTGTAAGGACAGCACCCCTCTCTCTCTCTCTCTCATGTGGTAATGCATTCTGGGGGGCAATGGATACAGACTTACAGAAGAAAGGGACTGGATAGGCTTTCTTCACACTCCAAGAAGGGCATTTCTGTCATGTGGTTAAACAGAGATCGCTTACCAAAAATACTAATTTATTAAGTGGACATATATTGAGCACTTAAAAGGCAAGTACTGAGGATCCCCCAATGAACAAAATATACCACTTACACAGCCTCCCCCATCCCAACCCTAGCACTACCCGTCGACCCAGAGCAGAAGAGCTTCTGCCTTGGACACTACATTTGTTTTCTAGCTTTGAGATATCACTGACACATAACATTGTACTAGTTTAAGGTATACAATGTTATGATTTCATCACACACATACATTGCTAAGTGATTACCTC